AGAAGTAACTTTACATCCAAATTCTTTTATTACATGCTCATTTCTTGACAAAACTTATAAATATAAATATTCTACAGAGGGAAATACTTTCTTATTAACGATGGAATTATTTTTAAATGAAATCATGTGTTAAGTGAAGCAAAATGAATTGAAAGAGAAGTATTCCGTAGTAAAAGAATAAATAGAGGGATGGTAATGTAAATATTGAATGTATTGATATTATTAGAAACCTATAAATAAAATAATCTCTATCATTGACTTGAACACAGGAACCAGACTTTATTCATCACATTTAACATAAAAAATACACACCAATCAATATAGATTCAAATCTATCATCTATAATTAATTTATCATAATATTATTACTACATGTTAACATTTTATATAAGTCATCTTTATATTCTTAATATTTATATAAAAATTATTAGGATACTCTTACGTTTCTACACGGTACCATTCTGAATATATCTAAACCAACTTATAGCGATATAACAGTACAAGTTTGGAAAACTTGTGGCCCAGGTAGGTAAAGGGGAAAAGTGCTTACATCCGAGATGATCTCATAAAATAGATGTCTTCCATTGTCCAACAATCTGTAAAGCATATAGTCTCTGGCACTCTTGGCAAACGTTCGTACATTGTCATCAGAGAGACTGACTGCTTTTCAGCACCAGTCTCCTGGGGAAAAAATAGAGCGCTAAGCTACATACAAACTTGCCTTACATTCAAAGAACAAAGAGTCTGACCCCACGTATCATGTGGAGACTCTGTGGTTTGTCATATCCGAATAGCGAGATACGTCCGTCCGGCGAAACACACTTCATTACTAAATGCATAGAAAACCGGCTAGACACATCCGAAACATTGACTGTGATTGTGCTTGTCCCGTAATTGTTTCACCAATTATACGAAAGAAAAAAAATCTGGCGTCCCCACAGAAAAATTCGTTTAACATTTGCCTCATGGAAAGTTTTATAAAGCATACCTATGTGTAAACACATTGTGGTAGCCAGTTGTGAAACAGAAGTAATCGAAGTTACAACAAACAAGCTATCAGAAACATACTGTAAATTTTCAGGAGTCTTAAACGCGAGTTTGCAAAGTGCCTGTAAGTGGGGGTTTTTTTTGTCTTCTATTTCGATTATTTACCCGGAATGAAAAATATCTTTAGAATCCCCTTCACGATTTATTATTTAGCTAGGTGTATCACCAGCACACATAAGACAAAATTGAGAATTGAGGAGGATTTCGTTGTAGATAAATATCTAATGGCAAGAACCTAATGATTCTATTGAATTAATAAAAGAAATGTAAACATTTCAGTACAGGGAGTATGCAACTTTTATTGTTCTGTGAATTACCCGTTTTCCTCTAAATTTCATTACTCAATTTAAATAGTAAACAAACATAAAATCTTACTCAAATCACTATGGTTCATTTCAAATTGTAACCGCACATATTCTGTTAGTATTCACACCCTCGTTGATTGGATAGCGCAAATAGTATTTTTCCTTTTTTGCAGCTTCACCATGTAGCAAGTTTTGACCGATGAAAATTGATACGAGCATCAATAACGGAGGGCAGTTTAAACCATTTGGAAGAGTAACTTCATGTGCCATGTAATAGTGTATAATTTTTATCATCAACCTGTACAAAATGCCCTACTTTCTAATGTTGACAATGATTTGTTGTGCCATATAATCGATTGTATTGATAATCAATAATACAAAAAGTATCATTAATAACCAACAGCGAAGTTTCTTACTGATAAACGCCATTTAATGGTATAATGTTCAAGAAACGTTCGATAATGAGCAACTGGTGTATGTCTTTGTTATATTGTCTAGTAGATGATGTCTGCACGTCAGCTGAAATCTCATTAAATCTAAATCTGTTGCATTAGGAATCGATTTTATTCATTCACTGGACATTGAAACCGCATAGCTAGTAATATCCTCATAATTGTATCACTTAAATATTTGAAAAAAAAAAAATTCTAAAAGATAGATTTTTGCCCCACTCCTATCCTATTAATTATCATATATTTTACGAGCATTTAAAAAAATATGCAAAAATCTTACCTCTCAATTTCTGAGTTTGCTTCTTTCGTCTTAATAACAACACCATTGTTGTTCAATGATAACACAATATAACTTGTTACCCTACAATACCGTTACATTCATTAGCTTGATGTATCAATTCCTCTTTCATTTTTAACCAACACATACTGTTTGTATCTAGTCCAATGTCAGATTTGAAATAAATCAAACGCATTTGACCTGATCTTTATTTAATTCCTTCGTTTCCATCATTTCTCTCGAGGGACAAGTTAAAATATACCGACAACCAGTATGACAATAGAAAAGTGTGAATGGCTTCAGATAACATGTAAACATTGGTTTCATTTCAAATTATTTGACCGATGTTTAGTTATCGTTTTTCTTTCCAGTTAAGTTACAATCAGACTATATTGCACCAATTAACTGTAATGATCTATAGTCCTGACATTGCGTGTGAAAATCATTTGTGGCAGGTGCTATTTGAAATAATTTAGATAAAAGTAATACTGAAATAATATATGACTTGATAGATAGTTAAACCAATACTGAATATTTTTATACTACATTCCATCATTATTACACTGCGTAGTTAGATATTGGCAGAATTTTCTTTATTATTGCTTTTTACTTTTGATGCATTCAGGTGATGCACTTAACATACATATTCCTGACTAGTATAAGCAGAAGATTACTCAAATTATTGATTGAGTTTATAATGTCGCAATGTTATACGATTGATTGTGTTCTTATGGAGTATAAATGAAATTTTGTATAATTACTCAGTCAGTTTATAGATAGATGGTTTATGTCTCATTGAGTATATCTGAGGTGGTTTCATTGATCTCTCGTTGAGTATTTTTAATGTATTAAATTGATTATTTGTGAGTTGGTTGGTTGATGTCTCATTGAGTATTTGTGAGTTGGTTGATGTCTCATTGATTATATGTGAGATGGTTGGTTGATGTCTCATTTGATATTTGTGAGTTGGTTGGTTGATGTCTCATTGAGTATATGTGAGTTGGTTGGTTGATGTCTCATTGAGAATATGTGGGTTGGTTGGTTGGTTGATATCTCATTTATTATGTAAGGTGGTTGGTTTATGTCTCATTGAGTATATGTGAGGTGGTTGATTGATCTCTCGTTGAGTATTTTTAATATATTAAGTTGATTCCCTTATTGATTATATGTGAGGTGGTTGGTTGATGTCTCATTGAGTATTTATGAGTTGGTTAATTGGTGGCTCATGGCTCATTGAGTATAATATGAGGTGGTTGGTTCGTGTCTCATTCATTAAATGTGAGGTTATCGTTGATCTCTCATTGAGTACATGTTAGGTGGTTGATGTACCTCTCATTGTGTATATGTGAGGCGGTTGATGTACCTCTCATTGAGTACATGTGAGGCGGTTGATGTATCTCTCATTGAGTACATGTGACGTGGTTTATGTACCTCTCATTGTGCATGTGGATTGGTTTATGTACCCCTCATTGAGTAAATGTTAGGTGGTTGATGTATCTCTCATTGAGTACATATGAGGTGGTTGATGTACCTCTCGTAGCGTACATGTGATATGGTTGATGTACCTCTCATTGCGAACATGTTAATTGGTTGACTGATGTCTCATAAAATATATGTGAGGTGGTTGATGTACCTCTCATTGAGTACATGTTAGGTGGTTGATGTACCTCTCATTGAGTGCATGTTAGGCGGTTGATGATCTCTCATTGAGTACATGTGAGGTGGTTGATGTACCTCTAATTGAGTACATGGTAGGCGGTTGATGTATCTCTCATCGAGTACATGTGACGTGGTGGAGGTACCTCTCATTGAGTACATGTGAGGTTGATTGAGCTATTATAAAGCAGTAAAGATAGATCGCAGAAAACATATTTTATTCTACTGTACCCAATATGTGACAAAGAAGCAGTAAGTAATGTAATCATGGAAGGGTGGTTAATTATAGAGAGCTGATTGATCTGTTGTCAAAACAGCAAAAACCTTTACATTAAATATATCCCTATAGTTAACTCTAAATATAGCCTATCTCTGGCGTACTTCATGCTCTTATTATATAGAATCATTATTGTTCTCCTGCGAGACCAAATTCAAAATAAATTGTATTGCTTTCCAGCTTAATGAAATTGCTTTTTATGTAGGTCAAGTCTGTAAATAGCGGTGTCAGTAGACGGCCACCAACGTACATGTGAACAGAAGGTTTATTCTCTTATTTGTCATTATAGCATTTTTCAACAAGTGGTTACAAACAGCATAGGACATTTGAGTGACAAGTTGTGAAGTAAAGCCTCTTCTAATTCCTGCTGAATTTTTTCCAAATGATGAGGTTTAGTTTCTGAATGTTTGTCTATGATTTCAGCCAACTGGACAAAGGTCGCCTTACAGCCGCATCAAGACTGGTTCAACCTATGGACCAACTTCCAATCTTGTCTAATCTAGATTGACAGTCATCCAGATCATACAAATTGATTTTCCAACAATAATAAAAAATAACAGAGATTTAGGTTTGATAATATAAGAAGCTTAAACTCTAGTTCTGATAACAGAAATAGCCAATATCTCATTCCCAAGATGTCTACCATCAACAACACGTCGCTTTTTATATTGCTGTTCATATTTTGTGGTGATGTTTTTAAACAATTTTTACGTTTAAATTATCCTTCACACCTTTTTTCATAGACACAGGAAGCAATGATTTGCGCTTTTGGGAAGAGTTACACTTTCTTTTCAAAAATATCATGTTAAACTTCTGAAGTATCATCCTGAATTGGCGTCGAAAGCTAGTTTTCACATTATTAATCCGTCACCATTAAATTTATTTTGTTTTCTTTCAGCCAATTCATTTGGTTTGGTTCCGGAATATGTTTGGCCATTAGGCAACTCAACTGCAACGGAAGAGGTTTTGAAGGGTCATGATGCCAGTATGCCTGAAAGTGGATTATGTTTTGAATTTGAAGACGGATATCCAGGATTACCGTATAAATCTATACGATTAGATGGCAATGAGGAATCGTATGTAGACATATCTTTAGATGGTACAATCATCTTTCAAGATATAGCCATATCCTTCTATCTGTATCCAGAAGGATCTAAAGATGGTACATTGGTCCATTATTTGTATGATACTGGTAACATAATTAGACTGTCTATCATGGAGAGTATATTATTTGTATCATTCTGGGATGAATATGGAGTATCAGTTGGTGCAACTGCTTTACCTCAAGTTCTGGTTATCAACCAATGGAATCAACTGGTAGTCTCTAGAGAGTTTGCTACAGGGACTATAGCCGTCTACCATAATGGGAAGCTTATGGAAGAACTAGACGATGATTTCCCTAATAACATTCAACTACCAGTTTCTGGTCAATTACGTATTGGACGATCACATGATAAAACAACTGATGGTTTTCGAGGAAAGTTAACGTGTTTTCAGTTATTTGACACCCTACCCACTGCAAGTGATATCAGTAATATTGGTGAATACTGTCAACCCAATACTTGGACGATACAACCTAATTGTAAGTATTCTATCAGATATCTTTAAGTACAACAGAATACATAAATCTGTGCGCATTAACGCCACATTCTTTAATAAGTTTTAATTGCAGTAGGTTGATCTTTTTCAGCCATTGGTCATAAAATGACATGGTTATTAACGAACCATCATAACACATTTTCTGGTATGTCTTATGTCCTGATCAGAGAGAATTTGTGCATGCGGCGGTTAAAGATTTTTTCTTCGATATTTTGCAGTGATGTACGAGGAGAAGATTGTGAAAGGTTCTGTCAAACAATGTCTGACCAATGAAACAAAGATTAAGCTACCATCGTGTGAAGAATTAATAGAGATGCGTTGTTTGACAAATGGTTATCATTGGGATCTTATCATGATGTATTTCAACTGGACACAGAGCGACCAGGATGCAGCTTATTTCAGCAAAGTATCTGATGGCTACATTCCACCGAATTCACAAGGCCATCTCCTTGGTAATGTTGTTACGGCGAATCGAAAAGTCTGCACCAGATTATGTATGCGTGTTGATGGTTGTCAATCATATGCTTACAACAAGGTAGACAAGTACAAAACTAAATGTCTTCTGTATGATAGCGTATTAAATGCTACTCGTGAAGATACTGGGTCAAAATATTTCTCTGTTTAAATATAATTCCAACAATCTATCAAAAGTAGAATAAATATATACAATTCAAACGACAAATTTCAATTGCATTGACTTTGTAATGACTGAATAACATTATTAGTATTTTTATTTTTCTGAGCTCATGCAAATTTGTTACACGATAGTGCAGGTTGCACAACATTGTTAAACTACTGATAGTAAACTCAGTTACAGTTTTTACGCAATTCATAATTATGTATGTTATAGAAGCAGTGATAAAAGATTAAGGACTTTTAGAATAAGTGAATACAATTAACACTTATTCTAAATCTATTTACACAGAGACGTAAATTTCTTTCTTTTTGTACCAGAAAGGCGCCAAGAAAGAAAAAGAAGTGAAAAACAATATCAATGAAATCTGATGCTTATTCAATTATATTCCCTAACTTTAAAAGCATTCACAGGCCGAATAGCGAATGATAAAGAAAGCAAAGCTAAGATAATGATGACTGGCAAGAGTAATAGGTTTATAAAACTATTAGATGTGAAAATCTCTACTTAATCTTTGACAGTAGAAAACAAACTATTTAGATAGAGACAATGTTATTGATTTCTACATTATCTCAAAAACAACACATTTAGTGTGTATCAGATGTATAATATATGGTTCTGATAATGTGAACTGAATTGTGCAGTGAATTTCGTTATTATATATATATATAGGTGGAGAATTTTGCAGTAATACAACTCACTATGTCTCGTGGCATATCCGCGGAAGACTGGTAAAAGACGATGTGACAGCTGTTTATTCGATGAGGCTGCAAATTTGCCCATCGTTTTTATTGCAGTCATTAAAACATTTGCAGCAAACCACATTTTCTTTGTTTTAGATCCATCATGTAAAACCTGCCTCATTAAAAGTACCGGTATTGGAAATAATTTACATCATTGGTTTTCTCGTTGTGGTGATACAGATTAGAGATTTCCGTGAAAGGAATGTTGTTAGATATATAGACCACACATTGCTCATTGTGTTTTTACAATTTGATTAAAGATGTGAAAATCCATTTTACCTCCACAGAACTAATAAATGAATTCCCCATTACAAAGATCAATAAAATTTAAAATAGTGAAACAACTTTATACTGTTTAAATTAAAAACATAAATAAATTATATAAAAAATATATAAATTTGAGGTTGATCACAAACATAATACTGCTTGGTTTACAAAACACCACATTATTAATATAACTTTAAAATAGACGAATTAATACTCTAAACCAACATTTAAATCTTTTTGATTCCAAGTTCAAAGCTTGCTCACTTTCATCTGATACCCTTATTTTAAAATTTTCATTTGAAATGAGATTCTATACAAGTCAGCACCATGCCCAATTGTACATAATTACTAATCATTGCTTTTAAGGAAGAAATTTCAAATTTAAGACTTGCACACATTCCAGAAAACCAAAAGAATTTTTCCACTGAAATAGTGAATAATAAAGTAGACTGTAAATATATAGATTGGTAATGGTATTATTTATTTGAGATTCATTTCCAGTAAAAGTATATAAGATTGTTATCAACTTGCATCATATTTAGTTGTTTTAGCTATAGTATCATACATTTCTTTGAGATGTCCTCTTCTATCATTGAAGCAACCTAGAATAAAACATTAATTACATTTACAGTAAATACAATATAAAATACAGCTTGTAAGGAACAATAACAGCAGCAAAAACTCATTTTCAAAGCAGCTGATAAATAAATACAAACAACATAAACCATAAGTCACTAATCAAATTAATGTTATATTTTAATTCAGCAAAGTAATTAACTTGATGTTCAAACTAAGATTTACATACAAGAGTCTCCAGAAGTAATTTTAATCAAAATTCTGAGAATATATGAACTAATTTCAAAATTACTATCAGGGTGATTCCTATACATGAATATCTGAGTCGAGTATTCTCTTCAGGTCTTCCCATTTACTTTGCCACCTCTAAAAGGCTCCAACAGATATGAGAAGATATAAACAAACCTAAGAAAGTATTGGGAGTAGGTAATGTCAGTATGGACTGTTGACTATCTAGTTGATCATCATTTAATACTGGACCATCATCCCACATTAAATCCCAACCACCAACACGTTTTTCATTACCAGTTAACCTGTTTCAAATAACATACACAGTACGTATAATAAGAGAAATTCAACAATCATAAACAGAACTTAAGTTTAATCTTGATACTATAATCAGGTTGATGAATATTTCTTGATACCAAAATCAGGTGGATGATTATTTTCTGATACTATAATCAGGTTGATGAATATTTCTTGATACCAAAATCAGGTGGATGATTATTTTCTGATACTATAATCAGGTTGCTGAATATTTCTTGATACTAAAATCAGGTGGATGGTTATTTTCTGATACTATAATCAGGTGGGTGATTATTTTCTGATACTATAATCAGGTGGATGATTATTTTCTGATACTATAATCAGGTGGATGATTATTTTCTGATACTATAATCAGGTGGATGATTATTTCCTGATACGAAAAAACAGGTGGATGATTATTTTCTGATACTATAATCTGGTTGATGATTATTTTCTGATACTATAATCTGGTTGATGATTATTTCCTGATACCAAAATCAGGTTGATGATTATTTCCTGATACCAAAATCAGGTTGATGATTATTTTCTGATACTATAATCAGGTTGATGATTATTTCTTGATACCAATATCTGGTTGATGATTATTTCCTGATACCAAAATCAGGTTAGTGATTATTTTCTGTTACCAAAATCAGGTTGATGCAAGTAAGGTATGAAAGAAAGAAACGCACTTAAAACTTACTTATGTTCAAGATCTAAAACATTTAAAACATCATTCAATAAACCACATTTCAATATATAGTCTTCTTTACCACTGGCAGTAAGTGATGGTGAGGCATTTATTTCTATTAACCATCTAAAAATGTTTAAAATGAAAAGTTTTCAATCTATTATTAATACTCTTGTGACAAGAGCTTTGTCATCAACTGAAATTACTTTCTTCTTTAAATCTTAAAGCAATTTCATTCTTGATCTTTTATTATTCATTTACCGACTTCAATACCAAATAAAAACTAGCTTCATCGCATCAATCAAATATGCAATTATCGTGTAGTAAAAAGCATAATTAAAGGTTTTAACAGAATTTACTATGAAGTCACCGGATATGGTAGACCGAATCATCTGCCTCTGTTTCCGCCTCTTATAGCTATTTTGAAAGTTGTTGTCTGGTGTAGAGACAGAAAAACAATACCCTGTCTTGTGGGGATTTTTCTTTTTTATTCAAATCGGATCTGCCAAACCCAGATATATTCAAAAAGATGGTTTTTTTTTTAATTCAGTTATACAATCATAATCCTCCAATACCATTTACATGATACTAACAAAACGAAAGTAACCCAACACTAATTTACGATCATCATAAAGATAAATTAATATATGTTAAAAAAAATATCTTCAGTGGTGTGGAAAATCCCCATAAAACAGATCATAGTTTTCTGAAACTGCTCCAAATGATAACTATAAAAATATCTATCAGAGGCTCGAATAGAGTCAGATGTTTTGGACTACGGATATCAATGTTAAATTTATTTGCTATGGTCCCCTTAATTACAATAAATATACATACGGTTTTAGATTGGAATCCAATATAACATCAAAACCATACATTTCAAAACAATGTTTATCATTAATAATAGTTTTCTGTACACTCTGTAGACTTCTTATAATAATATTATCAATATCTTTATAGGTTTTCTGTACCTATTGAAACAAGAAATTTTTTATGTTTAACAAAATATACAGTAGCTAATTGAACCAAGACAACAGGCCCTCACCCATAAGGACCCCCACCACCAAAGTATAAAATTATAGTCAAACTAAGCAACCAGCAATATATAAATGAGTGAAATAGAATTAACTACAGATTGAAAATCTTAAAATCTTCCATTTTAACAGGCATTAAATTGTCTTACAGTGGGGTCTCAGAATGCATTAGAGCATATTTGAACTGGCAAATTGATTAATGCCTATTATAGTTAGAGTATTTAGACACTGTTGTCCAAAATCTTCTTACAATAATCCAAAAGCTGCAAAATTTCAGCTGACCAAATATAGTAGAAATTAATACCCAAAAAAAGTAAATTTAAGTTTGAATTCAGCTAAATGTAGTATCACAAGCACTTAAAAAAAGTAAACCATCCAAGATAATTGAAATAAATATAGATAATAGCAGTAATTTGATATACCTGACTGTTCATGTTACAGAATAATATGATAGTAATAAATTTGACCAATTTAACAAATAGACTTGGATATTGATTTATAGTCTTATAGCACAGACATTATAAAGTGAAAATGAAGACTGTACTAATTTTTCTTTAGAACTGGCATTAACTGGCCTCATTTGGATGAAATGTCTGAATGAAATGACAAATCAACTGGTCATTTGTCATTTGTAATCTTTAAAAAGATTGGTTGGTAGATGAGTTGCGCTTCCATTAGATATTGGCCCGTATGCATCAAATGAAATAAAGCCTAATTTAATTCTATTCTGCCCAAATAACATTAACTTTTAATTTAATTCTATATTTTGTATGCACCACATAGAATTACCTTAAATGTATTTAAAAATTGGCTAATTTAATGCCAAACTTCAAGTTGGTCGAGACCAGTTTTAACTTTTAATTCTATTTGTAAATCAGTAGAAATTCCTTTTGTGGCTCTTCGATGTTTCAAAATGGACGATTATTTTGACGATTTAGATGAACTTGGTGAAATCAACCATGTTATTCCCATCAATAGACATGTCAGGGATTGCCTGGACCCCTTCACATGGGGTCACATGGCAAAAATGAAACAGGACATGGATTCCATATCAAATTTATTATGACGTTCATTTGCTCCTTCGAAGAATAGAAAGAATTAAAGATATCGTTTGATCTTACTCTTGTTGATAATTGTCATAAAAGCTGTAAGACACCAGATGAGAGTCTATAGAGATTCGGACTACAAGACATCCACACTACATACAGCAGTGATTAAAATGTTAAATAAGAATATGTCTTAGTGTCCAATCTTTAGACTCTTTTGTCATATATATATTGTGTATAATGGTGGTTTGAATGGAAAAAGGAATTTCAATTACAGTACAGATAAATATATTTAGTTAAATGTAAGTTGGTCAATACAAAAAATAGAATTATCTTTAAATACATTTAACTAAATCTATTTAAGGTTTAAAATAATTCTATTTTTCTTAATTTGATTTTATATGGTGCATACGGGCCATTATCTTTCTAACATTATCTGAAGTGTCTAAATGTTCTTCAGATGACTAAGCATTTCTCTATATCTGGCTATATTTCATTCAATTACACTGACAATAAACTGAGTAAGTGGATGTCCTGGACCTATAAGAACAATCTTGATAAACATCAAAAACAAAAATGATCATGTGGTTGCAGCAATTCTTCTGTAATCAATAGTACAGTTTATACAACTGGTAATACTCACTACTTCAATACCATGTTTAGCTATTAGATAATTACGTAATCTCTGTAAAGACCATTTACAACCCTTCTCAGGATCATAGTCTGGAGCTGTCTTCTGTACAGCAACATTTGTTAAATGGATATCTACATCAGCTGTTAAGGAAATTAGATTTTGATATTTGACTCTATCCATATAAATTGCTCTTAAAATATCTATCTTCTTGTACTAAGCGATCAAATATAGACTAGCAACATAATTCAAACATAATATGATCATTAACATTAATCAAACATAGACACTTTCTTTAAAGGATACAAGCATCTTCAATTGAATCTAATGAAAATTTACTATTAGAAAATCTAGCAAATCCTTCTCGATATAGCCAGGCTTTTAATGGGTTATACTGAAATTAAAAATCATGAGTTTTCTCCACCTTCTGTGTGATCTATTCTACTACAAGTTCAATAAGAAAATGTCTTAAAACAAGATTGGTAAAAAGATCAAGAATAGATGTATGATACCATTGCTTTCATCTACTTATTTCAAATTGTAAATGAAAAAATCAACTTATTAAATTTAGATTAAAATGAAATGAAATCTACTCCTGCAGTGTGAATTGTGGCAAATTTTGTTAAAACATTGTCACAACTGTTCTTTTTTAAGTTTCCAACTATAGCAGTACCCCTTTTCTATTGTCCAATCCAAACAACTAGCTGCTTAAACCATGTCAGTCTCTCTGAGCTGCATCTCGAACCATGCACAGATCAAACCCTGATATCCCCGGTAAGTAAGCCAATGTTTAACTCACTAGGCCACCACACCTTCCATTATGTGATATTATATTAGGGTACATATTTAATGTATTCTACAGATTACCATTATGAAGATGAATTCTGTTAATAAACATAAAACAATGATGTAATAGAGTTAAACAATTAAGACTTACAGAAACAACTAAAACATACACACGCAAATCAAACTTTCTACCACCAATAAGATAAGGGTTTGAAATATATCTCTGAACAACATATAGCTCTGGAGCTTCTTTAGTTTGATCTGCTAGAGGTTGATAGTCTCCCTTTAAAATAAAATATTGTCTTTCATCAACTAACTCATCAAAATATCATCCTATTGTGTGCTTTTGCTTTTTTATGGTTTCAAGAATTGATGAAGTCAGTCAGTCAAAAATACACAGTAGATTTGAGAACTGTACTGTCTTCAAGGAATGCCTAATATTAGCATTTTTTGAAGACTTCAAAAGAAGTGGGATGCTTTTTGGAAAAAAAAAACCTAAAAACATGATGTGAAAAAATCAACAATTTCATCTAGAAAAATAAATCATGATATAAGGCAGTTTCCATTAATTAAATTAATTTCGTTTTTCACTGTAAGTTCAATATGCAGTAACATTAACTAAAATATTATACTGACCTTTTTCCAATTAGTGATATCCTTCAATTTACGAAATAAAAATATTCCATGACCTTGGGATTTAGCTGCAGGTTTCATAATCCATATAATACCTGGATTCTTTTTAAATTCTTCCACAAATATATGATATTCTGACTGGAAAAGAGTTGACTCAATTTGTTCATCATAATTTGAAAAACACTGTTAACCATTTACGATTAATGATATATATCTTGTTCATTGATTTCACAAGAATTATTCTCGGGGTATCAACGAATAACTCTTGAATAAAAAACAAAGAATACAAAACAAAATATTAGATTCATAAATTTTACCATTATTTCTCAGGATACATAATGACTTTCATATTCTCTGTGAAGTTAGGTTTTAGTGACACTCTTTAATGCTTTTTAGCTTAAAGATTACTAAACAAGTAATATTGATAATTTTTTTTTGTTTAAAATTACTTACAGGTAATTCATAGGTAGTTGGATAAAAATCAAAACTGAAAATAAAACAAGAAAGTCTTAACAGTAAATTGAAAGGATAAGTATAAAGAAATAAAGATGGCTGAATCTAATTCAGAGAAGAAAAAGTAAGGGAGTTAATTTCATCTTATATATTTAGAGAAATGAAATGAAGACTATACATAGAATTCTTCCCCATATTTCTATCTACAACCGTAAAACTAGAGACAATAGTCTCATTAAATGTCCAAATATAAAATCTAATCAACAATTAATAGTAATCAACAAAGTTAATGCAAAATTAGGCTAATGAAGATGGAATATTGTATTTGACTTCTTTACCTTTGACCTTCTAATTTACCAAATTCCCTTTCAGTCTGTCTCTTCAATCTTTTAATATTTTTTACCATTAAATTCTTTCTAGTTAACTGATGAAAGAGATATCAATTCAATATTAAACCTTATGTTTCAATACAACTTGTAGCTTGTCTACACAAATGTAAATTCAGATTTCAACTCTAACCATATCTACTCATTTATGAATCTTTTAAAAGAACAGCATAATTTATTACTTCAGGACTTACTATTTCTTTTTCACTTTGATTTGCAAGCTCATATCACATGAAATAGATCCCATAGGTAAGGCTTAGTAGTGAAATGTTGAAAATAAGAGAATAAAATAATTTCACAAGACAATTATACCAAGCCTATCCATGCATCTTTCACTACTATTCAAAGTGCTGATAAAAAACAAATAAATAATAATACCTCATAATAATTTCTAAAATGTAAAATCTTCTGATTTTCTTGTAAGAATGTTGTGTCATAATTCTGATGTAGCCATTCTCGATCACACCAGAAAAAATCCCATTCTGTTTCACTAAAAAATAGATTTGAGATTAGAAAGAAATCACGGAGGCAACCAAATTTCCTTTTAAACAAGAACAACAACTTGGTGTTATGGTGATCTTTTCTAAAAATGACATATTCAAGGTAATCAGACTTCCATATCATTTTATGCCAAGAAAACATAAAAACAAATAGCAGACAGAAATTAATTCCAACTAACCCATATCATATCTTAACATGATAATCATGTAAAAAATACAGTTATTAGTTTTTAAAAAAAAAAATTACCTTGGAGCTTCTTGCCATCCTGGTCGTGATTTTAAGACATCTAATATTGTATTTTGTAATGATGTTCTAAAGTATATCTCTCTATCACTGTAATAAAGACGGTATTATTAGAGTCTTAGCAAGTTTAAAGAATATTGTCATATTTATATGTATCAGTTCTGTTACCGTACCCAATATTTCACAAGGTAGAGTTCTGTCTACATTTTAACGAGTAATAGTCTTCAGAAGTAATAGAATGTTCAAATATTGCATAATTCCCCAAGTACACCTAAAATTGGAAATTTCACCTTTTATTTCTATCATGACTGGTTTCGTTACTAACTGTACATCTAGTCAATACAGTCTATAATAGTAAATAAGGTGTGCACATATTCTGAGATATGAAATCATCAAAATCGGAGCTATATGACAAGAAAAGTTAGATTACCTTATATGTGCTTTTGGTCTTTGATATCCTCTTGATATCATATAACCTGGTAGCTTAAAAAAGAAGAAAGTGACAATATATTCACAGCAGGTGTCAACTATGTAATGACTTATTAATAAGGGTAGGGACAGAGTGTTTTTTTTTAGGTATTTTAGAGGTGGAGGTCGATACTGAAATGACTCTCAAAGCACAAGCATCAGACCTTTTTTCAAATTTGTATTAAGAAGTTTTCTAAAAGATAGCTTGCCCGGCAGCGCCCAATGGCAGCTTTGATTTTGAATAAAAATATTTAGCAGTTCAGTAACATTCACCAGTATGAAATATTCAACCTTCAGTCATACACTTCTTTTCAACTTAGAGTGGTACCGGTACTGAATAATATTGAGTATGAGTTATTGCCCTTATTCTTGAAAACATGTTCAATTTTTAGCTCGTGAAAACTCTAGAAGGCAAATATTCAATCTTCAGCGTGGAAGTTTTGTCGAAATCTGTCAATAATTGTGTCTTGTAGAGTGTTTACGAGCAATTGTGGACGGATTGATGGACGGACGGACATTGGAAGGCAATATACACCCGCCATTTCATGTGGCCATATAAAAAAGTATCGGGGACACTGAAAGCATCAATTCCAATTTTCAATCTGATGTCTATGGTTCCTGCAATTTCACAAAAAATAAGTTTTTAATGACGTCACTAATCACAAAATATACGTCATCATATGCTTTCAGTGTCCCCGATACACATACTAAATTTAGAAAACCATTTCACAATCACTTTAAGGAGGAATCGAATTGCTTAGAAAACGACATTCCAACTCGCTACCTACCGAGGGTTAGTTTTAGGCCCAGGGTTTAGAACTGTTCTGTTAAAAAAAACAAAAGGGTATGTGTAGACTGCCGTAACTAAAGAAAATTTATTTGAAATTACTGATGTTAGTGTTACTACGAGATATAGCTAAGCTTATATCTTGAATTTCATTGAATAATAATTTGAGGCTGCCTTAAGAGTAGAGAGAAGGACAGACCAATATTTTTCGTCATACCTTTGTATTTGTAACAGGACCGTTGGTGGTAGGTTTTGCAAACATTGTGAATAAAAGCGAACAAATTGTTTTCTCAAGCTCAAATGAAAAAGTATTTGTTTACATTATCGACGATAGTGGTTTCTTCAAAACCCATCGCCACTCGAGGCTACCGTACATTTGTAAGAATAGAAAACAAAAATTGCTTATTAACTTATATCTAAAATATATTGACAAGTTATAAATTCAACATGGTTTAGAATTACATGCATATATATCGTTGACGAACTGGCGAATATGACCATTTTTCAGAAAATCACTTTTTGGGATGTTATTAGTCTTAGTCTAGTGCAGTAGTGGATTATGGCTTTATGCAGTTTCGTTTGGTGTTAGTTCAACTAAGGTATGTCCTCAAGCTAAGAGATCAGACTTTAATCACTTTTTAAGTGAGTGTCGATTCTTACCCGACCAAGATCGTAAATTCTTGGCAAACGCGAGACAGATCACGAAGGTCGTGGACGATTCTTCTGAATTCCCTCAGGAAGAAAATACTGGCCCTTCACATTCGGAACCGGCAACAACATTACGTGTACAAGTAAGACAATCACCTTATCTCAACGCATTCTATGCCCACCACGTAGCACACATAACCATAGATAGTGGTGCTACAGGAAACTTGATTAGCCATTCTACCGTTAAAAAATTCAGCATCGTAATGTCCAAAAGTTCCCAGTCAGCACGGCAGGCAGATGGCCAATCACCACTCAAAGTCATTGGCGAAGTTAATATTATATTCACTAGAGATGATAGATCTTTTACATTTGAAGGAATGGTTGTAGAGACACTTGACGTTGAAATATTAGCTGGGACACCATTTATGGAGATTAATGATGTGAGTGTTAGACCAGCGAAACATCAAGTAATCGTAGGTGATGATTTCATTTAGTTACGGTTCCCCCGAAAAGAATTTGAGTCAACATACTATTCGCAGAGCGCACGTACTGCGCGCTCCACCTCACACTACCACTATTTGGCCAGGGAAATTCATTGAAGTTGAAATCCCCCACGGTATTATAGACGAACCGGAAATTGCCTTAGAACCACGTGTTATATCTAGTATTATATATCATTTGGCCACAGCCCGATCTATTGCAAGTTGTTTCCGGAAAAATCAGGATTCCCAATATGTCTTCCTCTCCTAAGATCCTAAAGAAAAATGAACATTTTTGTCAGGTCCAAAGAGTGATGATCCCAAATGAGTCCACAGGTCCTTCCTTGAATGTTCAGACTTTGAATTATAGAGCAACCGAAATCTCGGAAACCCCCTCTTCCGATCAGGTTCAGGTTGATCCGGATCAACTCTTATCAGCTTCCTCTACGGAAAAATTTCGTGAGTTACTAAAACAGTATGACACTGTCTTCAGTCCCGAATTTCCTGGCTACAATGGACAATCGGGTCCATTTAAAGCAGTCTTCAACATGGGTCCCGTCCAACCTCCACAACGCAAGGGTAGAGTACCTCAGTATTTGCGCAATAGGCTTGTTGAACTGCAATCAAAATTTACCGAACTAGCGAATGGGTGTGTTTGTCAGACCCGAAGATGTTGGTATAACTGTCGAATACGTGAATCCGTCCTTCTTAGTTAAGAAATCTAACGGATCGTTTCGTTACTGCTTTTGCCGATGTTGACTCCATTTTGCGCTTGATTGCCCAATGGAAATACATCATTTCCACAGATCTCACGAACGCTTTTTACCAAAAACCCCTTTCGAAAGAGTCCATGAAGTACTGCGGAGTCGCTTCACCATTTCGTGGCGTTTTTGTGTATGCACGGTCTGCGATGGGCATGCCAGGCTCAGAAACCGCGTTAGAGGAAATGATGTGTAGAGTATTGGGTCAACTAACCGAAAAAGGTTGCGTCGCGAATCTTGCCAACGATCTTTACTGTGGCAGCGACACAATTGAAGAGTTATACGATAACTGGTCAAGGGTACTAGCAGCTTTACACAAAAACGATCTTAATTTGTCAGCAAAAAAAAACTGTTTGTCCAAAATCAGTTTCATTACTTGGATGGATCTGATTGGACCCCTTGGTGAACTTTCCGCTGGTAGACAATCGAATGAAAAACTTGTTTGTTCTGATCACCTCAAGTCGGTTTTTGAACGCGCTCAATCCGCATTGAACACTAGTAAAACAATTGTTCTACCGCGTCCGGATGACGTTTTGTGGATCATAACAGATGGTGCAGTTAAGGATTATGGTATAGGCGTTACCCTCTATGTAACAAGGAGTGGAAAGCAAAGGGTCGCCGGGTTTTTTAGCGCTAAACTAAGTAGTCGCCAACCGACATGGATCCCATGTGAAATTGAGGCATTATCGATCGCCGTAGCCACTAAACACTTTAGCCCATTCATTATCCAATCAAAACATCAGGCGTGTATTCTCACTGATAGCAAACCTATCGTTCAGGCGTATGAAAAATTGTGTCGCGGCGAATTTTCCATAAGTCCACGTTTATCCACGTTTTTATCTATAATTAGTCGTTACCAGGCTTCAGTGCGGCATTTGGCTGGCTCTGCAATGTTCCTTCTGATTTTGTTAGCAGGAATACTCTACCCTGTGTTACTCTTTCTTGTCAAATTTGCTCATTTGTTAATTTAACGGAGGATTCGGTTGTTCGCCATCTTTCAGTGTCTCTTGATTTGATAAATGTGAATGAAGAGTTTTATCTTGCTTTTGATAGGTCGTGTGGTAGATTCATGATTTAGTATAGACTCAATGTTTGATGAAAATAGAGAATACCAACAGTCCGAACCCAGTTAGGATAAGTAGTCTAAAAAAACGGGCTACAACTTTCTATAAACTTGTCTTCAACAGAATTAATTATGTTTATTTGAGAAATTCACTTTGTTTTACTTTTTTTTTACTTTTTAACCACTCCTTGAGCACCTGATTCTCATGTAACTTCCTACAGATAGTCATAATTTTTGACACAATAAATTACCCGAGGAAAAATATCTGTCAAAGCAGAGGGAGAAACAAGGAATTCGAATGGAATTTTCTGCAGGACTCTTTCATCTAAAGATGTGTTCAATACCATTGCAGTATCATTTTCTCGTATGTGTATCCTGTGAGAGAATCACAATCACAATTTTGATGCCCCTCTCTATTGGTTTCATAGGCAAGTATCGCTTGAGACTTGATCTGCCCTTGAACTTTGTCATGGATTCATCAATATTTTTTCTGGAACTTTCAGACCAACACTCTGGAAAAGTTTTCTTCAAGCAGGATATCAATTCATTGAGTTTTTGACTTCATCTCCTCTATTGTTTCTGCCAATAGCTGCATGGATGTCTCGGATTATATTGATATTTTCTATAGCTTGGTTTTTATCTAGTGCGGAAACAATAGATGCCATCTTGTGATTCTGGAGTTCTGCCGTATATAAAATATATCTGTGCGTTTGCATTAGCATGTATTTCGATCTTTAAAAATTTGTTAAAATATAAAATGGTCGGATTTATTATAAACTAGAAGAAACAAATGGGCCTTTTAACATAAAACTACTTGTTGACGTAAGGAAGGCTTGTGTAGTAATTGAAAAAATAAACAGGTGTGAAACTAGCTGGCATCAGTGGGTCAAAACAATGGCTGATCTGATCAAAATTAATGTCGTAAATTTGTGAAAAGTTATTGATTATTAAGATGGGATCACCTTTTATCATTTTTTGCAAAACAGACTTCTTTACTATTCCAAAGATTCTGGAGGTTGTATCACATCCAGTAAAAAAGGATGAAGAAACAACAAATTGTGACATATATCACTCCCTAGAATTTTCATGACCTTTATGTCATACCTGGTACATCCCATCGAACCACTATTATATGAATGAAAGTATAGCTTTTTTTTCTCTGGGAGAGGTGAAATGCAGAAATAACACCAACAAATCTGTGTCCTCACCTATCAATGCAGTTGTTTTCTCAGATGACATTAAAACTGCTGTTTTTGCAATGTCTACATCTGCATCCCCTCTGGAGTGTATTACACGGCAGCATCAGACCCTAATCCATCTGCAATTTTCCTGACCAGAATTAGATATTTCACCACATAGCATACTAATTTACACAAAAAATAATCATCCGATTGTGTGTATTTGGGACATAGAAAGCTTCGATTTGCACCATCCCAATTCTGGATTGTCGATGTATGCGAGATATTTCTTTATGTTTACTTCAAGTTTCCATTGGTCACAATAGGTTTTCATGTCAACTAATTGCTTTTGTTAATAATTACGGGATCTAACACATTTTCACTTAAAAATTCATCAAAGTCATTTAAATACAGTAAAAATAACAAAGGGGATAAGTTGTCTCCTTGTTTCACTCCAAATAATGAGTTGAAGTAATAATTTACGATACAATCTGCGGTACTTTTGCTTTTCTGAAATCCAAATTGCATATTTCTTGGACAGATAGACATTCATGTCATTAATTAACATTGAATAAATACTGTTTAAAAAGTAAATTATTTAGATGTTTGACCACATCAAATAAGAGCTTTTACCACATTTCAGTTTTTTAATTGCTTTTTCAACTTCTTGTATCGTAATCGGAATCAAGCGAGGAGTCGGTAACGATAGACGGTATCCAAAGGGGGTCAACATCGGAATAGACAGGGTCATTGGGATTATCGTAAATTCCCTTAAAGTGCAAGTAAAAATCATTATAGGTTAAGGAACTTGTTTCAACCTGGGAGTTTTATTATACCATATTTGCTTTAGTTTTTACACATTTGTCTTTGTTATATTTATTGAAGAAAGAGATTGCATTGAATTAAAATATTTTATTGGCACTAATAAAAAATGTCACGGCAGGATTAACAAATAAATTATATACAATGTGCAACAATGTATTACAATGTAATACAACTCAATGCTAAGGCATTTATGGAAGCCCCCAAAGAACAAAAATGATGTACAACGGCTCAAATTCCCATACTTTAACTCAAATACCAACTTCGTCATTTACTAGAATTAGAAGGGCCTCCACACTATTTATTATTTCACTGCGGTGGAAATGACTAAAAAGCTTTGTTACTAAAAAACAAAAGGCTCTCTTTATAATGAGGATCCCACACACCAAACTTTGATTGTTTCTGAAAAAAGTTGACAAATTATATGATTAATATAGATTTGAAAACTGATGATTTCCCTTCCCGGCCTGCATAGTGATGTCAACTGGTATGCCTATCAAAGCTGCAGTGGTAGCAGCTCCTATACGGAAGGAGTGAGCTTTATAGCGAGATGCCTCACAATTTAAAAATTTCATGGTTTTGTTAAAAAAGGGCAGTGAGAGGATGTCCACTGAAATGGCAAAACAATGGACCAGATTGCTTAGGGCGAGTTCTCAGAAATTCTTGGAGGTTAAGAAAAGGACATACAAAAGGATTGTTTGTCTTTGGAATCGATAGTGTAACTCCTTGGCCAAATTGATCAGTTTTAGATTGAGTAAGTTAATGAGAATACAGCTTTAAATAGTGTTGATTGATAAACATTAGACGCTAAATTTACGAAGTTTCCCTGGAGCAATTTTGCCTTTATCAACTGGGATACATTATTTCCTAACAGTGGAAACTCATTAGGGGGGATATGTGTAAAAGAATGAATAATATAAGGGACATTACCATTTGTTTGAATTGTTGGGTGGACATCAGTAATCTGTTGGTCAACTGTGTCTGGAAATGTCACACCAGATGGTTGTGATAATGTTTCCTTGGCAGATTGTTGTTGTGGAGCTGTTGCCTCTGTAACTGAAGGAGTTTCTTGTTGGTTGATTTAGATCTACTTGGATTTGTTGGCTTCTTGGCGTAAGGACTTTTACTAGGTCTCCTCATCTTGATCCAAAATTGAATGAAAAAATCAAAAAATTGTGTTTCAGATTCTGAAATCAATAACAAAATCAATTGAATTGGAAATATTTTGCAACTCTATTCATATAACATCCTCCAGGATTCTCAAGAAAATCATCCATGGCATGGCATGATAAAAATTAAAAATAAGATCTAATCTATTTTAATCTTAGAAGTAGAAAGCTCCTTCAAATTTGAAAATCAGCATAGGAATACTAGAAAATACTACTTTCTTATAAAGGTTAGAATAATCTTTAAAAATCAATACACTGACAAAATATAAATTTTCTAACCTACCAAAAGATTGCAGTCTGTCTCAAAGCCTAGTAAACATGAGGTATACAAGTGTCCATAACATACTATGGATATAACGCCGTATCTTACCCCCGGGCAAAGAAAATCACCATTCAGTGATTTGGGGCATTGGTCCAATTTGAATATATTCCATTTGGTTTGATAGTAAATTAATAATAAACCATGAAACATTGTTTTTAATTTTAAGCATGTATAATATGAAAATGTGAAATTGTCTTCATTGGCATGCATGGCATTCATACCATGGTGGAATACCAGCCGCGCATGCCTCGTGTATCCATTGGACACATGATGAGAAACGAACCATGTTTTCGACTCTATCCTCATCACAAGCCAGAAAAAACCAAGGATCTTCGTCCGAATCGTATTCTTGGTTGCTCTCCGGTAAGATCTACTTACTCGCTTTACGCTTAGGTGGTTTCTTGACTGCCATATTATTATCTGTATCTTTCTTCGTTGATACTTTAAGTTTGCGTCGTGCTTTGGGCTTAGGCAGAGCCTTCGCAAGAAGGTTGGCTTTGTATAGGCTTGATGTAATTATCTTTGCACAGATTGTTCTCGCCGATTGTTTTGCTGGCTGAACCTTAGGTATAGGGGATAACATGGCGAACCAGTCGCGGGTGGTTATTGATGAGGCACAAACGGTACTGGGAAGCGACTTGAAGGGGAGGATGGCGCAACACTTGAAGCAATGACCAATGCTTCATAATGCCCTTTATCCTCAATACCAATGGTGTACTTCATCATAAGTGGTTCTCCGTCAATCTCGGGTCCAATTTTTATGATGTCATCATTTACATACATATGTATTTCAACGCTCGAGCTGTTGCTAAAATGTCAAGTTCGCAGACCATTTCAGCATATTCTGACATCGCCGCCACACGGTCTTCTATCGATGCATATCGGAGATGGTGCAAGGGAAGATCTGCATCCACCACACTTTCATCAACATCTCGATAGGTTTCAAAATGTTCCAAAATATGCGCTATCATCTGTGATAGGAGTGTTCTAACAACAGCAATCCGATTGAAATTCGTCAGAAGTCATCATCTCTATCAATCATTTGTAGGGTAACGTTCTGACCGATCCATCGATTCCATCAGGATTGCTTTTTCAGATCGAATATGTGTGTCGCTTACTTGATTATAGAACGGCATCAGAGATTTATAAAATGTTCGGTCAAGTGGCTGAAGTCTATGGGTAGTGTGTGGTGGGAGAGAAAGCATAAGTATTCCATTGTTACGAGTAAAATCTATAGCCTTTAGACCATCTAAAATCAATAGACCGGGGCTTTCTTTTTCATCCAGCCACTATCGTTACTAACCACAAGACTGTTTGGCAGACAGTCACGTGACCTACCTTCTAGGCCCATAGTGATGACCTCTGACCCAACCAAATCATAACGAGATATGCTGGTGGTCCAATTAATGTATCGGTCCAATATCGGTACACTTCCCCTAGTAACCGCCACCTAGTGAATGTACTCAAAATCTCCAGGCAGGGACACGCTGACACAACCTTGAACTAGTGGAGTTTTCCACAGGACAAAATATTATGAGCATGACATAAGAATAATGTAAACATCCTGTAGTCCTCTAAATAAAAAACATTTATTCAGAATAATTCTTTATGGGAATAAATGTGAATGAATATTTCTACTGTCAATAAATAGTTTTCTCGAGGTATGACATGAACTATCAAACCATGCACTTGATTTTTTCTTTAATTTATGTTTATTTTTTGAGAAACTGACACTAATACCTAGAACTATGAAAGCTCGCTCAAATATGTTATTACTCACATCACTGATTAAAGCATCTATAATCGTTTGATTTATGGTACATGGAATGGTTGTTGTGAACAAATTTGTGGCAGTAAATGAAGTGTATAACTCAGAAGCTTTGTCAGAGTTCCACTTTAAGAAACGTTGACTGCCTACTGGTTCAGTGGGTGTATTGTAATCACTATTAGGTATTAAGGACTTCTTTGAAAAGGGTAGCTCAAGGTGAAGTGGTGTATGGTCTGAGTACACTTCGAGGTGTTCAAGATACTAAATTTAAAGACTGAAGATAGATTGGATTAGTCAATGCATAATAACACTTGAACCGTTTGGAGTAAAGCATGTAAAGGAGCCGGCTTCCATTTAGAATGCAAAGTTGTCCTTGCTTGTTTCGGAGTCGGCACTCGTTCTAGCGCTAAAACCACAAATTACAAGAAGTATACCTAGATTACTATATTTTAAACAATGGAACTCAATAAGGTTAAAAAGATCCAGGTCTATGTATTTATAATAGTTTGATCGTTCATGTGGTATATAAACACAACATAAATAAATATCTGGATTGTTGTGATTAACTTTATCTTCAGTACGACTAAACCATATGTTCACATATGCCCGCACGCATCATCGTTCGTATTGAAAGCGGCGTTAAGGTGCATTTATACAGAGCGCGAACGCGAACGCAAACGCGAACGCGGTTTTTCGTCATGGAATGGTTTCATCATTTTATAGAGAGACCGTTCAAATAGAATGCGAACGCGAACAACAAATATTTGTTCGCGCGGTCGACCGCCGAGATTGCCCCAAGAGCGAATTTTTCAGAAAGTCGCGGCGGATTTCTTGCTATCAACCAATCAGCTTGTACCACCTCCCTTGCATCATTTCCTAAAATAGAAACTTGTGCACATGGCTTTTCCAATTTGCTTGTAGGGTACAAACAATGGATAAAACGGAAGTTTTGATTTTAGAAGTTGAAAAGAATCCAGTTTTGTTTGACAAAGCTGAAAAAACTTCGTAAAAAAGAAAGATATTTGGAAGGGAATCGGAGAGAAGGTTGGACTGAAAGGTGTGTTATTAAAAAAAATTCAATTTATTTTGCGTGTTTCATCAATGGTATGGAACTTATAAAGAAAATAACATTGGACCAATTCATTAATTAATTACTTTTTAATTGACTGTTGTCACACTTTGTTTAACAACAAAAAAGGCGATCCGCATTGAAAGCCGTCGACGGTTTTCCGCGTTCGTGTTCGCGCTCTATTTGAATGACTGAACTGATGAAAAGTCGCGTTCGCGCCGGTCGCGTTCGCGTTCGCGCTCTGTATAAATGCACCTTTATGCGCGTAAATTCGCTGATGAAACGAGCTCAGAGTTAACTGGCAGACGGATATGAACTTTGGAGGCAATCTCCGCGGTTTTCCGCGCGAACAGAAATTCGGCCGCATTCGCGTTCGCCCCTAGTATAAACGACCTCATACAAAATCAGGCTAAACAGTCTAATGCGAACGCCGCGTTCGCGGTCGCGGTCGTAGTCGCGCTCAGTATAAACGGACCTTTTCCTGTGTCTTACTATGAGCACGATCTATTTTGATGCGTTCTCTTTCATCAGTGATGAATTCTAGGACTTTATCTGTGCAATTGTCATCAATGTTCTCTATTAAACTGAAGAAGGGACAATTCTTGACTGATTTTGACGAAACATGTTTGTTAGTAACAACTCAAGGATGAACCCTATTGGAAATCAGAAAAAATCTTAAAATATTTAGTATGAGTTATTACCCTTGTTCTTAAAAACGCGTTCAAAAGAAGTAAATGACTGAAGGTTGAATATTTCATAGTGATACTGCCAAATATTTTTTATTCAAAATCAGGTTATCTTCACTTTTGTTATACCGTCGATTAATCTCTCATTTTTTGTCCGAAATATTCACTAGAAAGATTTCATTTGGATATAGTGGCTCATCAAGATGAGAGCACGGTCCCGGGCCCAGATTGCATATAAACAATTTACGTGTATTTATGGCATAATTTCCATGATATAACTCCTGTGACCAGTTCCCTCACTTGAACTGTTAAAATTAAATGGAAATAGTTTCCTCAGTTACCTCCCTTGAACTTTTGAAATTGGTCATTGGTGTTATGAGGTTGTTATTTCTGACTTGTTTGTCGTGTTTATTTTGCATTTTAAGAAAGGATGTGGCGCCAGGCAGGCATGCTGTTAATCATCATATAATGTGTATGGTTGACTCTTATCTGAACAGGATTTGTTGTCTGAATCCAAGTAGGAAGTAGAGCTTTAGCGAGTTTCTGACAAGTTCGGCGAGTAAAAACAAAAATAGAATCTTGGTAATAAAATAATTTCTATTTTCACCGTAAATCTACAGAAAACTTAATTCAGTTTTATATCTCTACTGACGCATTAACTTTGAAGATGAATTTGATATAAACCATCACAGGGCCTACTCAGAAAAACTGATTTGTTGGATGAGGACTAAATGTTATGAATATGATATTGATATGATAGCCTTACTAACGTACTGACTGTATTGTTAGCAATTGAATGTGTAAAAAACCTTAAAGACAACTTTATTTCTTTACCAAGTATATTTTAAAATTAATGTTTTGAGATATATCTGCATATCATATATATCATATATAATTGTTATCTTCAGACTTAAGAAATCTGCTCATCACGAGTCAAAATAGGTAAATTACAGCTTGTGTGACTAATCTTAATTCGTGCATTTAAGGATTCAACATCGAATTAATTTAGTTAAATTTAAAAAAAAAAAAAATGTTGTTTCTTACATGATTCATCAGATATTCTATAAAATAACTACAATTGGTTCACTTTCACCCATATTTCATGAGCAACCAACTTGACAACGGCCACAAAAGGCATCACCTATTTTCGTGTACAATGTTAGATCTATAAAATAAGTTGAGCCAAACATGTATGGATATCCAGTGGTATAATTATCATATCTTAGTATTTATCTGTGAAAGAATTGTCAATAGTCATGACTTGATATTAAAGAACAATGATTTGAGAAAAAAATGACTGTCAAAATAATATAAATAGACTAAAATGTAACAGTAGTTTATTTGCTAAAATTCATTGAATTTTTTTGTTGTCATGGAATCTGCTAGTTCGTCATGTGACTTTGTTTACAGGAATATATTCTAGCAGACGACACTTGGAATTCCGATTAGAGCTTGGGATTATAAGGAAATTTGTTTATCAAAACATGCAAATGTAGAAGTCACACAAGGTCGCACATGTGAATTATTCATCATGTCCAGAGATGCCCGAAATTAGGTTCGCACAAAATTAGGTTGCGTGACTTTATATTTCCTGTTCATACAAAGTGATCATGATTTTTGGTCATTTTTCATACCTTAAACTATCAGTGATTTAGTCTTATACGAAGATGGTAGTTAACAGTACTCTACCGTCAACTTCCAAGAAAACTTTTGACTTAAATGTGTACTTGGTGCTAAAAGATCAGTTGACCATTTTCTGTTGTCAATTGTACCTTAGGTACAGAAATTGGTCTCAGAAATGTGATTTGTTAGCAAAACTAATTAGTATAAGTGTTCACAGCTCACTGTCAGAAGCCATGTATATCTTTGTTTGAAACTTACATTGATGACTGACCATCTTCAAGACTCAAATTATATTTTACTCTACAATTACTATTTCTTAACAGGTGGAAATGTAGTATAGATGGTGAAATCTAAAGAGTTGAAAATTTAGATCATGGGGAATGGAATGAATAAGGTAAATTCCCAGTTAAGATAACTCATATCACTGCATGAACAGGACAGGAGGCACATATGCATGCCATTTTTTAATAACTGTCAGGAAAAAGTTTTCATGGTAAGTTAATTTTATTCCAAATACTGTGCTTTGAGTAAAGATCTGTGAAATACAGCAACAATAGCTAGGCAGTGATATATACATACAATATTTCTTTATCTACACTATTATGATATTTATTGCAGATTATTAAGGGGGTGTACATTGGAAATTTTCGTGATTCTAAAGATGAGAAGCAGCTAACAGAAAACAACATAACTCATATATTATCCATTCATGATAATGCAACGCCTATATTGCCTGTGAGTAATGAAATATCATCATATGAATCTAAGATAATATAGTGGACATTAAAACAGTTTTAGGTTAGAAGGGCTGTGAATTTGGCCACTTCAGCCAATTATGATTCTCAGGTACTGAAAGTCCAAAGTGAATGGTGCATAAGTCTAAATCAAAGGTGAAATAATATATTTTACAGAGCAAAATAAGACTGCAGTCTTTTTAAGAGTGTTATTGACATTCTTGTGTATAATTATTACCAATTACTCTATAATAATTGTTGTCATTAACAGAAAGTTATTAACGTTATAATTGACAATGATTTTTTTCTGGATAACATATCTGGTTATAACACTGATATACTCTTAAATTCAGAGTAAAATCATACCAGTGTTTTCATCTCCTTTTCTTTTGATATTTCAATTACCATTTTTTTTCAGAATAAAGAATATTTGTGCCTTATTGCAAGTGATTGTCCTGCTCAAGATCTCACGCAATTTTTTAGCCAATCCAATGATTTTATACATAAAGCACGTTCAAGTGGAGGGAATGTAGTTGTTCATTGGTAGATATTTTTAAAAGTTATTGTTAAACATGTAATCTCCATTTTATAGCCGAAGCCTTTGATATAATGCTAGGGGAAGACAAGCGTATTTTTTTCACTCGAATAAGTTTATTCAAATCACTGGCGATTTTTTACGCCCAATCACAAATAGACAGAATATTTTAAATAATTTAAAAATACTTATCGCCCAATCAAAATTTTTATTTTAAAATTAGCCATGATATGGTGATGCCCATCTTCAATAGCTTAAAGTGATACTACGTCTTAGAATGAATATAAAATTTAAGTTCTCGAAAAGGTCAATATTAGTCTATTAGCTTACCTGTTCCTGGTGTCATAAAGTTACAACAGAATCCCTGTAAAATCTGGAAAATTGGAAAATTCATAAAAAAAGAAATTATTGAAAAATGCGTAATCTTGATATTTAGCGTTTTTCAATTGTTAATTACATATTTATGGATAATTACTATGTTTTTTGGATCTATCAGATTATATAAGGATCCTGTTATGTTATTTATGACACCAGGTATATCTACTGGCTATTATTCGCCAAGTTTAAAATTCTTAAATTTTATGTTAATTCTAAGACGTAGTATCACTTGAATATTGGATCCATTTTTCTTTCAGTTTAGCTGGTGTTTCTAGAAGTGTAACTTTAGTAGCAGCATATATTATGACAGTAACAGATTTAAAATGGAGAGATACTTTAAATTCTATTCGAGGTGCCAGATCTTGTGCAAACCCAAATTTTGGTTTTCAAAGACAGTTGCAAAAGTTTCAAGAAGAACAGTTAGAAGATGTAAGTATTTATTTATTTGAGCCATATTTATAGTCAGAGTTAATGTATTACATGTATTTTCTAGAAGACTTCATGGAATTAGAGCTTGTTAGTTTTGTTAACTCCCTTTGTTCCTCAGTCGACCTAGTCTTACATGGGGACATCATTTATTCCTTTTAAATGACACCAGCTTAGTCTGAGCTTGTCATCTGGATTGATTCATTCCCAACAGAATACTTTCCACTTTTAACCTTCCTAACACACCAGATACAATTTGATTCTTTGCTGAAAGTGAAAATATTATTACCAAGCATTGTCTCTAAACTGAAAAGTTTTTGACTTTGCACCAATGAATAGTATCATCTCAAAAGATCTTGTAAAAGTTATTGTATCAAATAGGTAATGAGTCTTCTATGGTGTTTTAACTATTTTTGAATGATTGTAGGAAAAGAAAAGATTTGTGAGTGTCCATGGTAAAAATACTTTTGAAGATGAAGATGATTGTAAGCAGAATTTACAAGCTTATCAGAACTTTGTTTTGGGTAACCCATCTGCTGCGGATGAAGGTCTGTACCCTCTACCTCATAATGCCTATTCAGAACGTAACAAAGCTAGTAATGGTGCTGAAAAAGATGATTCTACAGTTGAAAGTAAGAAAGCAGACTGAATTTCATCACCTTATTTCAAACAATAACCTAAATCTATGGCTGCTACTGAAGGATTTTGAATACTGGAAATTTTATCTGTAATGTTTAGACTATAGTTCAATATCTAAAAGGTCAACAAAATGGTAAATTCCATACTCATGTCTAAAAAAAAGCAACGAAGAGGAACTTCATTTTAGCGTTTTTAGAACAAAAATTCTATCTATGGACTGATGGGTAAAGTTTATATAAAAAAGGACACCATTTGAGTTTGATCATGGCTTTCTGTTAAAAGGAGTTGAGGTAAAGAGTTAGCCCTTGGAAGCTGGTCATGGGTTAATAGAAAAATATGTATAAAAAAAATAGAAAAAAATGTATGACTTAAATGATGTCTTGGGATACCACAGACATCTTGAACCCAGACTCATGAATTTTAGAATCAAAGGATGGATAAGAATTTTTTATCCCAGTTTTTTCTAACCCATTAAAGGCAGCCAGGTAGAAATAAGAAATAAAATTGAATTATTGTACAATTTTATACATGTATGTCTTGCAAGAAGTGATGGTGAGTTTTTTATTTGAAGATATTTTTAAAAACTGTTAAGACCTTAGTAATGATTATCTATGTTCTGTTTTGATTTTTTACAATTTTCTTACATAGGCATTACAAATTTGTATTTCTGTGCTTTTATAATTAAGGCTTGTTTATGAATGTCACAGGTAAATATAACATTCTTATGAAAAGAAAATTTCCTAGGCCTTGTCTTGCTTTTTCATAAAGCCTTTTTTACAATCATAACTCTTAACATAAAAATGTAAACATGTTAAAATCTAACATGATTTTTTATGATTTATTTTCGTAACAGTTTTGGAAAACAAGACCTGAATTTTTACATTAAAAATCCTACAGTTTTATATAATGATAATGATATTATTATTTATATATCTTTTCTAGTCTATTGGAGTTCAGGATTGTTGTTTACTGCTGTAACCTATCATAAACTTCACTTTTTCATTGTGAGGGATATGTTTGATAAATTGCTTTTTGTGGATAAATATTGTTTTTTAAATCTCATTTATTAGTGCTTTTTATACGCCCACATTATATAGGGGGTGAATATATCGCCGTCACTAGTGTTGAAACGGTTAATCAGTTAACCGATTTCGGGTAGTATTTCACGGATAACCGGGTCTGATTTGAGATAATCGGTTAACCGTCAATTTTATAAGAAGTAAAAAGAGAGCAATTTTTGACAGAAAATTCGTCACTGTATGAGTCTTTTAGCTGTTTTCTTTAATAAATAAACATCTTTTATTGATTGAATAATTGAGATTAATAAATCTAGATACAGTATCAATTATCAAAACACTAACGAGTTGCAAGAATTATGGTCAAGATTAACAAGCCTCTTTTTTTATATAAGTTCAACTAAGTACTCGTTCTGGATAATCGCGTCATGATGGTCTTAGTTTGTCGACAGTCGCCGTGTGCACCGTTATGTTAATTGTTTACACCTACTCTAGTTAACAGTGAGTTACCGCCGCAAATGCTGTTTTTGACTCCTTTTATAATCTTTAGTAATTAACCGGGTAACAAACGGTTATTGCAGACGATTACCTGGTTTCTAAAATTCACTAACCGTTTCAACACTAGCCGTCACCCATTTCATTCTGTCCACAATTGCTTGTAAACACTGTAGAAGGCACAATTCTTGAATGATTTCGACGAAACTTGGTATGATTGTTATCACCCAAAATCAGAAAAATCAAAAATACTTGTATGAGTTATTGCTCTTGTTCTTGAAAACAAGTTCAATTTTGGTTCGTAAACACTCCAATTCTTGACAGAAAACTTGGTATGAGTGTTAGTAATCACCCAAAGATGAACCCATTGAAAATCAGAAAAATAGTAAATATTTAGTATGAGTTATTGCCCTTGTTCTTGAAAACGCATACAATTTTAAGCCTGCAAACACTCTTAAGGCACAAGTCTTGATGGTGAGTGGTTGTTATCAACCAAGGATGAACCCTATCAAAAATCAAAAGAATCGAAAAATATTTAGTATGAGTTATTGCCCTTGTTCTTAAAAGTTTTAGCTTGTAAACACTCTAGAAGGCCCAATTCTTTACAGATTTTGATGAAACATATATTATTCAGTATCGCCTCAAAAAGTTCAAAAGAAGTGTATGTCTGAAGGTTGAATATTTCATACTGGTAATTGTTACTGTACTGCCAAATATTTTTAATTAAAATCAAAGCTGTCAGTGGGCGTATATAAAACCTTGCTAGCTATCTTTATAATTTGAATCTAGAATTTTTTCAATTGTTTGTATAGATGGCAGGAAGTTAACATAATATGTGTTATTTTGCTTTTATACTTATTTATTGTTTTAAGTAACCCTCCAAGAACCATCATTGGACTTGAAATAAATATTAAAATCGATCTATACAGTAGTATTCCATTAACAAGCTATGAATTTGGAAAATTAGGGAAAAATTTCTTTTCTTTCTGTGAGAATATTGTGTCTCAATTTCTAATAGTTTCCTCTAATGAAAAAAATGCTGAAAGTAACTTTATGCGGGATAAAGGATAAATGCCAACCCTAAAAAGCAATCTAAAATTGAAACTTTGAAGAAGGTAGATTACATGTAAAATGTTGATTGTAACACACAGTAGGCGTGTAAACAACCATTGTAGCATATTATATTTTATAACAGATACTCTTATGCAATAATGTTATGCATGTATTGATCAAATGACACACTCAAATGTTAGGTAGTCAGCTAAAACTACTATTAATTTTAACTTGAGCTAACTTTATCTGAACCGTACACACTTCCTGATATTTATTGATACTAAAGACTTGAGACTAAACCTGAGGAGAATAAAGTTGTTTTGTTTATTATAAATAGTACTTAAATTGAAATAATAATAGAGATGTCTACCATTTCCAGATCAATATATTACATGGTTATAAAATGGATTACAAAATGGACGCAACCAAAAGTCTAAACGCTCAAGCAGCTGCAAATCGTATGGTTGCCTTTGAAATAGTGTTTCTTATTGAAAAATCTTCACCAAACTCTTTCACCATGCAATGACTTGACCTCTTTGGACCAGCATGTTATATCACAATTTCTAGAATACCAACTTGCATCAAAATATCATTTACATTAAAAGACCTAGGTTGTTTAATCCTTAATTTTATATTATATATACATTATAACGTGGTCACCCCTGTCCGTCCCATCCGTCCGTTCACAATAGAGGCTACAGTTTTTATCTGATTTTAATGAAATTTAGGGTGATCATTTATATTCATTAGATCTTCGTCAAGTTTGAATTTGAATTTTCAATGAACAATTTTTGAGTTATTGCCCTTGACTTAGAAACACGTCAAAATTTGTTTGTGAACACAATAAAGACTAGAGTTTTCATTCGATTTAAATAAAATTTGGTGTGAAAATTAATAATGATGAGATCTGTATCAAGTTTGAATTTGGCGATCTTTCGATGAATGGTTTTTGAGTTATTGCCCTTGAGGCATCAAACTTTGTTGGCTTGTAAACGCGATAGAGGTGACAGTTTATGTCAAAATTTTATTAAATTTTGTGTGTTTGTTTAAATGAATAATATCTTGTACAAATTAGATTTATGGTTCGACTTGACGCAGATTGGTGACCGCCCTTGATATACTGAAAATGCACCAGGCAAGTGGGCGTATCTTGCTAGACAACCACTTGTTATCACTTTTTAAACATCAAGTGTATGCGAAAGTTTAATTGCATAATTTTAGCATCCCTATCCATCGGTCAACATTTCCTGCTAGCACTATAGGAGTGGAATATTATCAATCTTTTTGCTTAAGGTCTAAATAGACTTAAAATTTGACAAAGAACGGTTTTTTATACGCCCACATCTCGTCCGTCCGTCCGTCAACATTTGCTTGTAAACACTCTAAAAACTAGATTTTTTGATGGAATCAAATACATATTCATAAAACGAAGAATTTGAGCTATTGCCCTTGCCCCAAAATCTTGAGTATGCTATTACTCTCTTAGTTTTCAACCGATTTTGATGAAACTTAAATTGGATGGTTCGTTTTGACCATCCGCATGCCGTGAAGGCGTATATGGTTGTGGTATATAACCCTAGATTTAGCGTAAAAGTTGTCAAAATTGGTCTGTTATCAATTCACATACGCATACCACCGGTCACCAAATTTCAGCTTCTTTTCTATCTTGCTGAGATTTCGAACGAGTTTGAAATTTACGATTATTCGATGAACGGGTTACGAGTTATTGCTAATGCTATCAACTTGAAAAATGCGTCAAAATCAGCCCAAAGGAGCGAGTTTTCGCGAATTTGGACTCAATTTGGTACATGCTTGCTTATCAGTGGCGGCGCCAGCCACCCAAGAGTTGGGGTATAAATAGGGGGCAGACTGACTTAATGGGAGGGACAACAGTCGATGTTGTATTTTAACTGCGGCAGCTCTGTAAAAGGGCCAGTGGTGCAACCCTCCCATATAGAACCTCTGAAGGGATTCTTTCCATGACTTTTAAGAAATAGAATTGATTTGGTGCATTCTCGTACACTTATTTTCGGGCAAAAACGTATGCCGTTCATGTGTCGAGAATTTGGGGTACAAACCATTCTTCTAGGGGGAATGAGGGGGGAGGGGGGGGGGGGGGCTCTGTACCTTCGCTTTTATACGCCTACATTATAATGATTTGATTTGATTTGGTGCGAACATTTATATTAATGAGATCTTGGACAAGTTCGAATTTGACGATCTTTCGATGAACGTTTTTTGAGTTATTGCCCTTGGCTTATGAAAAAAGCGTCAAAATATGGTTGTGAACACAATAGAGACTACAGTTGTTATCCAATTTAAATGAAATTTGGTGTGAATATATAATGATGAGTTCGAATTTGACGATTATCGGAATTTGAGTTATTCCCTTGACTTAAAAATGCATCGAATTTTTTTGACGATAGAGGTTGACAGTTTATGTCAGAATTTTATTGAATAATGTGTGTTGGTTTAAATCAACAATATCTTGCACAAATAAGATTTTTGGTATGATTTGACACAGATAGGTGACTGCCCTTGATATACTGAAATTGTATTGGGAAAATGGGCGTATCTTGTTAGGCAACCACTTGTTTCCCAATACAAATAAATATGCGGTGAATATACAGCAAAAAAATGATTTTCAGGAGCGAAATTGGAAAATGCTTGATAGGGGTGATGTAATTTGCATCCTACGTCTTGTATAATCATAAAAGATTTATAAAATTGTCAAATTTCTTATCTCCATCACATTCTCAAGTCAATTTTCCCGGTCCGAAGGGATGAAATGTGACAGAAAGAAAGTTGAATTGAAGGCATAGTCTATATCGTTTGCCAAGCTTGGTATCTACAGCCTACTACAATTTCTTCCAAGTATTATTCTTTTTTCCCATGAAATCTTAGTAATGATTTGGCACTACGCATGAATAAAAAGCACATAGTCTACAATAACATTATTCATATTATTAAAGGGATGTCAACGCTAAATAAATTTCGGATTTTAACAATTTCTAGATGAATCGTTCTTGAGTAGGCCTATTTGTCAATCGAATGTATACTATAATTATATCGCTCTACAACTGATGTATAGGCCTACGCCTATTGAGCAATATTAACAATGAAAATATTCTATTATTGAATTTGAAGGTTTAGGCTATAGTAGGAAAATGGAATGAATATTCCTGTTGTATGCCTGTAACTAACACGCACTCGCAGTTAAACATAGTGATTGTGGGTTAGCTATTTTATTACCTTATTGATAATGTATTTTTACAAGGGCGTCCCTTAAATATGGCGTCTGCTTAAATAACTTCCTGGTTGTTCAACCTATTTATACTGAATAATCTACCATTGTGAAACTAGGCCATCTTATCGACCTTGTTCTAATATTAGATTTAATTCAGCTTTTCCAAGAATACTTTAGTTTCGGGGAAAATGAAACTAAAGAACGTTCACAAGAAATTACATGTATATACACCAAAGCATAGTATGTTTAAGGTGTCTTAGGCTACAGCATAAGGGGACTTTGGTGAGTCAGAAACGACAGGAAATTTTTATCTGAACTAAATTAGCAGGTAATTTTGATTTGTCATTTCATTAATTATTGTTATAAATCTTCTTTTAATAAATCGTCACTGCTCTGATGTAATATTTTGCAATACCGTTTGTCCTTTTGATAATATCACGGGAATGTTGGGGAAATCTAAAAAAAAAAGACGAAAGAAATTAGGCCTGTGCTTGTCCATTATGATCTTGATAAGTTCAAAGGATTTTTCAGTAAATATGCAATCATTTTGAATTACATTACATTTGATGTAGGTATAGCCTAGTTTTTAGTATTGCGCAACGCGGTTATCATGCTTGCGTGATTTTCTGAAGATAATTTTCTTATCACGAATGACACGCGCCAGTGAGGCGAAGCAATATAGATTTTCTGAGTATAGGCCTACATAAAAAATGAAAACTGGCTTGCAGGCTGTAATTACATAAGGGAAATGCCTCATTCTGAATTCTCATTTCCACGCCCACAAAACGAAGTGTAGCGGGCTTAGTTTAATAGCCTACGGGTTAATGTCAAAACCCGTATTCGTGATGCGATGATACATAGGCTATCATTTCACACTCCTTTCAAATTCTCAGTTGATAAAAAACTTTGTAACGACCACAAAGTAGTAGGCCTATTTAATATTATGAAAGATATCATCAAATCATCTCTTATTGAAGTCAAATAGACTTCCACAGCATTGACACCATACACCTCATCTAAGACATGACTTTTTGCAACTGATTTTATTCTAATTCAAAATGTAACCTCCTCTGAAACACCTGTCTGGGATTGTCCTGACAAAAACTTTGGGGTAGATATGAAAAAAAAAATCATATATTCGAGTAATCTGTGCCAATTAAGTTGCATCAAAGTAGCAAAGTTATAAACAGTAACGAACAGAAAAGCAATTGGGTGAAACATTATTAGACGTTCCTAGATTTGATTACAATTTTATGTTTAATCTTGGTGCGTTAAAGCCAACTCAATGCAATATTGGCTACAACATATTATATATTCAATAGAAAATCGAGACAAATATTTTATCGCTCTCTGTACGTTACCTGTTTACATTGCAAAGGCTTCAAAGCGATCGATATACCCAGCATGCATTAAAATAATGTCTGTACATGTGTAGTATACGGATCACAATAATGACAGAGGCTAGTCAGTCTCAGTTGAAAGTGTATCCCCATTTGCTTCAACATTATCACAATAAATGCCTCGATCATTACTACACGATTCCTGTATATTTACATGCAACTACCGATCTCTTATTGTCAATAGATATGCCCACTATCTTAAATAAGCTAATTATTGGGAAAGATGAGCAAAACGTAAAATTGCCCAATTCATCTGTTTATGTTTCGTGCTAATTGTTCACCAAAATTGTTGTTCCATTACCAAGGGAGGGGGTGTCATAATATTAACCCCCACCCCCTATGTTTCATACTTCCTCCTTTTGAAGGAAATCGTGCTTAACTTTTGAATGATTTTAATGTTCTTATCTATCAGACTAGAATTAATACCCGGCGAGATGAATTTGGAAAGCGTTCATCGATATTTTATTATTTCCGTATGAAACCACTGACTATAGTATTAGTATGAGTTAACGGGGTTTCTGGGACAATGATAACCCACATAATATTATTTAAATTCTGAATCATCTAAGGTTTTCATTGGATAAGTAATATTTAGGGACTTAAAGATAATCTCATAAAATGCCTGCATTTGGCGAATTTTGTATAGTTCGGAAAATTATACTACGGAACAAAGCTACAATGTTCAACGATGAGGCGTCTAATTATTCTCCATCTGTAAGTAATACCTATACCAGTAACTTATTTATTTATACATAACAGTTTAAAAAGCTAAATGTTATGGTGAAATATTTTTGAAAGTTAAAAGCAAAATCATGAAGTCTATATTAAAAAAAGGATTACACACTGTATTGATATTAATGTACAAACCAAGAATAATTTTAAAATGTTCAACTGATATATGATTTAATTGTAACCAAAGGGAGGCATGAGTTTTTAATAATTTTAGTTATGTTGAAAAGTATGCAAACTCATAAATCTTAATTTTTGGCATTCATCTTTTTGAAGATGAAGACAATTTTAAACCTATAATATGACAATGCTATATGGATATATTGGTGTGTTACTGAGACGTGTATGCCACTTGAAAAGCTATGAAACAGTCCAAATCAGTCAAAATATAGGTTAAATATAACTAAGGGGCCGTGCTTGGAAATTGTTTATGCTTCTTATTACAGGTCTGTTGTGGCGATATGAGTGGATGTAACACTGAATACCATGGAAGGCAAAGATTCCGACCTTGGCTTACCAATAAAATTGACAGTTGCAGATTCCCTGGTGTTGAATGGATTGATCGAGACCTAAACATTTTCAGAATTCCGTGGAAACATGGTGGAAAGCAAGATTGGTCTGAACAAAATTCATTAATTTTCAAGGTAAAAAAGCATAGGACCTGAAAATACTAAGTTTGTAAAGCATGTTTTCACCTTTACTAATGTATTTATTTGGAATAAAGACATTTCAATGGAATTTGATCTAAACTTTTCTATTAATCTGCATTGTTTTGCTTTGGTTCTAAAGACGATGACGAGAATAACTTTAGAACTATTGTGATTTTTTTCAATGCACATTGAATCTTAATCGAAAGTTTATTAATATTAATCTGATTTCATTTTGTGTATTAAAGCCAATAAATGTATTCATTTTCGTTAAGCCTACGATGATTTCACGAAATAATCTCGCTTAACTTGAATAGAAATAAGGAAATATTTACTTTCAATATTATACAATATCCTGTCATATCTCACTATATAGGAATGGGCTGTGCATACAGGCAGATTTCGTCAAGGAGTTGATAAGGCAGATTGGCCAGGCTGGAAAACGAGGTTTCGATGTGCGATGAATAAATTACCAGATATCCGAGAAATAAAAGAAAGAAGTCAATTAGATGGAGATGAACCATATAGAGTGTATCAATTTTTAAACAGTAAGTTTTTTGATGACATAACATTGTGTATTATTTTTATCAGCTGTCAGAGTCATTTTTCAAATTTAAAATCCGAAAGTCATGTTCGTCTACAGTTAAGTAATATGTACCGGTCGAGGTGACCACTGCTGAAGTTCACACCACCCCTGCATTCATTTGTAATTTGCTCATATTTTTAATATATGACTGTCTGGAATACGAAAAGTTGTGAATGAAAGTCGGAGGAAGAAGTTTTCATCGCGTTAACAGATAGTTATATAGGATACCTAAAGCTTATTCTTTTTTAAGAGAAAAGGATTTCTAACAATATATAATTACAAATATAACAGCACAGTAGCTTGATGTACAGGACAGACATAATATATAGAACTATCGGATTGTTATGTAGGCCTATATTTGATAAACGAAATATCCACAATACTACTACTTACAGATTCAAATTCAGTTCAAATGGCGGAAAATGGTGAAAATCAGTACTTAAAAAAGGAACCAAAATATGAGAGAATTGTAGACGGTCCATTGAATTTATCTTCTCAAAAGGTAGTCTTTTACATACATATTTTATACTATTACTTTATATATTTTGGCGAGGTTGACATTATTCCGCACCGTCTTATTCGCGGCTTTATACGTCAATGGCATGAGCCGGTGAAATGTCAAGATGCCACCATTTGCAATTCTTGTTTATTGTTGTCAATGACGTCTGATAATAATAATAATTTTATTGGCGTATAATTCAATACAGAGAATTGTCACCAGAGACAAAACAGGACATGGATCATATACAATAATGTTGGAAGGAGAATACCTTCATGGCTAATAAAGATCTGGTATCCAATAAACGATGTTTAGTAAATATAGGTCTACAATGAAATAGAAAGAACATAATTATGGTGTTTCTAAATGCTCCATACTTCAAAAAGACTATCTTATTATATAGGAGGCTATAATAAGTTAACAATTTCTATTTCAAGTATTATACTATACATTTTTAGGTTCTCAGTATAGCATTGTTTACAAAGATAATGGTGGGTTTTAAAATATCTCCTTGTTCAAAACTGATTAAAAATTCAAATTTGGCAAAATCCGACATATCTGAAAGATCAGGAACAAAGTGAAGAACTTCCTCGAATAGAAAGGTCCTTAGTGTGTTGTATTTTAGACAAGTACAAACAATGTATCTCATTTTCTACTTGAGGCAGTTGACATTGATTACAAATTCTATTTTCGACGGGCGTATCTTAATCTACCCTTTTCTATAAGTAATGAATGGCAACTTACTCTGAATTTTGTGAAATTCTTAATGTATGTGTTACAGACATCTAAACCATACTTAAATTTAAAGTGACAATAGGTTCGTCATTTGTTTCCTATGGAAGATGATTTAAATTCACCCTTCATAAATCTTACAAAACACTGTCGATATCTCAATGAGAGCCCTCTTTCTGGAGAACAACAGCCTTGGGATAGATGGAGTGCCTTTGTTATCCCATACATAGGAAAGCCTAATATCATTAGGAAGGAATTTATATGGTTATTAAATGTATTGGTGTGGGCTCTAACTATAGTCAGGGCTTTGAACGACCATATATAGGACCTGCATTGAAAATTGTCATTCAGATGAAGCCAGTACTTAATTGCCTGTAATAAAGCAGATATAGGCCTATACTAAGAGGAAAGCGATCTAGTTCAGCTTTTCTGACTATGTTTGAAACATATTTATTTACTCCAAGAATAAATTTACAATATGAATTTTCTCAGGGATAAAATTTATAAATATAGACGTCATCGACTGTTGTCACCACCCCGGGAAATCCGAAGGACGCGTGCATAACCAGCTTTGATTGCCCGAAGATCAAATTTAGTCCAATGAAAACTGTGAATCTAATTTCCTTATTCTAATTTTGAGTACACTCTCGAACTGATATGAAATTTATTTACCTCTCGAGAAAAATTGGTTGGACGTATACAGGTCAATCAGGCGACATTCAATTCTCTATCAGCAGACCTTTATTGCAGACCTTGCTATTCACTTCAGTTATGATAATCCCATACCCCTACTAATTAACCTTTGTTTTGCACTGGGAATAAAGGATAGAAATTAAATTGTCAAACTTTTAGTAATAACCTTTTCAAATTAGTGGTGAATGAAATCGTAAATCAATGTAGTGAATGTAGTCAAACTAAACTACTTTATCAAGCGATAAACCTTTATTATCTGAAAAAGTATCGAGTAATATAATATGATTTTCTTTTCTTTCAAAGATAACTCCATGTATACCAGAGACTGTAAGAGCCATGAACTGTTCATATGAAGAACAACATACCGGTAAGCAACTTTTCATTTGCATGCTACTCAAACTAGTGGAATGATTGGCCAAGTTACATTTCTGGATAACAACAACATACGTACTACTATTACTATAAGATGTTTCTCTGATTTTCAGTTGACGATCCAGATCTTACATCAGATTTAGGTGTAATAGACGTAAAAGATTTGGTAGGAATGAGAGCACGTAATTCAAGTAACGAGGTTTTTATGAATAGAATAATTCACAGTATAGAAAATACACACAAAGCTGATGGTATAAAACAAGAAGAGGACATGGATACTACAGGTTTGACAACCTTTACTTTTAACATTAATAATCTTAATCTATGAACACGCACACTGGTTCACACAAAAACATTCGGCTGATATTTGAACAGTTGTCAGATGTAGGAATTGGAATTCACCAAGACCGATCGATGCTAAATCACAGATGAAGATAAGATGAAAATTAATAATAATAATAATTTGATAATTTCAGATGGCTCTATTTCGAGAGGTGAAAATCAATATCCTCTGGATTATTCAACGGAGTCGTCAAGAATGTTAAACAGAGATCGCTCACCTTACATCAACCCAGTCTCGCAATTTCCTTGTCACAGGGAACCTGCAGGTAAATAGAAATAGACACCTTTCTTAACGCCAGATGTGCCACACAGATATACTTATCTTTTTTAACGACAGATGTGCCAAACATTCAGATATAAATACATTTCTTCAGGCCAGGATACAGATACAGGATACACTAACTTTTCTTAACGATAGATGTACCGCACATAATTACAGACTATCGTGATACAAGAAAGTTGTCTTTTGCAGTCAAGGTATAAGACGAGGTTAAGCTTGACATTGTAAAGATGACATTACAGATAGGCCTATATGTTTACATAAAATTCTGAACGACAAATATACCATAAATTACAGATATACTTACCTTTCTAAACGACAAATAAACCATAAATTGTGTACAATATATTAGTTTATTACATATACTTACCATTCAAAGCAACAAATAGATCATATTACAGATACACTTACCATTCAATGCAACGAATAGATCATAATTATTACAGATATACTTACCATTCTAAACGACATTATAGATACATGTATACTTATCGTTGTAAACGACAGATGTTCCATACATTACATATATACTTACCGTTCTAATGAATCTAAACGATAGATATTCCATACATTACAAATATACTTACCATTCAAAACGACATTATAGATACATGTATACTTACCGTTCTAAACGACAGATGTTCCATACATTACATATATACTTACCGTTATAATGAATCTAAACGACAGATTTTCTATACATTACAGATATACTTACCGTTCTAATGAATCTAAACGACAGATATTCCATACATGACAGATATACTTACCGTTCTAAACAACATTACAGTTATACTTACCTTTCTAAACGACAGATATTCCATACATAACAGATATACTGGCCGATCTAAACGCAAGATATTCCATACATTAGATATAATGTCAAGTATTTTAATTATTGATATACTTCCTCATGTGAAAAGTTTATTAGCTGCTACCAAGGTTTTGCCAAGATGTTGTTTTGGATTTCGGGGTTGTTTTTGCGGTTCCGATCGTTAATGGGACTATTTTTTTGTTTATCCAACAATAATATTCAGTAAAACATATTCTGTTTGAATTAAAATAGTTTTCATGTTGAAATCCATAGTCTCTACTTGTGACCTAGGCTTGTGCTTCTATAGGAGAATATCTACTATAACACCTATAACTAGATTTTAGTCGCGTGTTTTTATGAAATCGACACACACTCCCCTTATGTTTTATACATAGCATGGGATAAATATGATTTTCTTAGCCACCTAAAATCATTTGTCATTGATATTTTTTTGCAGATCATGAACTGATCGTTAGATTGCAGTTTAGACAACAGGTTGCCGATCAATATCATATTACCAATAAAGATGGTATTAGATTATGTTATGGTCAGCAGATGAATTGTATGACAAACGAAGATCGTAATAGGGTAAACTACACTTATGTCAATGTCACACTATGACTTTGACTATGACTTTTTATGAGTTTAATATAGCCTATATAAAAAACACCTCTCAATGTAATGTACAGTGATCAATTTCATTAGTCATAGAGACTAATAATTTATTACTACAATATGAAATCTGCTCTATTTGCTACTACTTACAGATCAGACATCATCTATCCCAGTTTTCTGATTACATGAACATTCTGGATTTCTTCTTGTGGGTTGAACACGGGGGTAAAACAGTTGGGCGGAAACCATGGGTTTGGGTACTGATACTATTCAATTGTATTTTTCGGTTCACATACAACTAGACGTTCAGTCTTAAACTATTTGTTTCAGGCTTATGGATTTCCTTTAGCAGAATCGATTGAATTTCCATTACATCAAATAACAAACCCAGAACAACACAGCTATACTAAAGAGTTGTTGAAACATTTAGATAGAGGATTATCCATTCATTGCAAAAATGGGGATGTATATGCCACCAGAAAATGCAGGTTAGTCTAAAATTACATGGACTGTATCACAAATGAACTAATATCCTCTCTGAGCTACAATATTATATTCCTTCAAAAATCCAATCGGTCCATCATAACTGACATGTGGTTGGAGCCGAGTATACTGATTAACTGAAAGATTTAGTTTAATTTCATATATAGTTGTTACGTACGATTATAAAACTGATATTATAGAACAAAATATTGACTGAACAGAAACCCAAATTCCCCCTTTTAAGCAGGTACTTCTTGATTGTTTTAATCCTAAACCATCTGTCCTTATTATTTCAGGGTGGTTGTATTCTTTGCGTCACCAGAGTCCAGTAATCCTACAAAAATACACAGAAATGAACAAAGTCATAAAATATTTGATTATAAAGCGTTTAGGGTAGCACTTCATAACTATGTGAATGGTCAGGGGCCCAAGCCATCTGCTCAAGTGTTACTTGGTTTTGGACAAAAATGGACAAATAACCACGAGGCTTATCATAATTTATTAATATCGGCTACCATCTTCCATCCTTTAGCAATCTACGAACTTTCAAAGGTAAGTAATATGGTATTTTTGGTGTGGTTCATTAATGTACATGTTGAAGTTTTCTATTTTCAGTTGAGATACCGAAGCTCACATTGAGTCTTAGAAATGAAGTAAAATTAATCCATAAAGACTCTATGTATTCTGTTTCTATGTAAACGTTCTCAAGTTGTTGGTATCTTAGGTCGTCGGCTATGTCGCTTTATTTACATGGTAAATGATCAAAGAACAACATCTAATGTAATCAACAACTGATTCGGGTATAAATATATCATAATCACATTATATTTAAATCTATTTATTCCAGGTTTCTGGTAATAGTCCTTTGTCATCAGTACAGATTTCAAAATCCGATGAAATCGATCAGTTTTTAAAGGTGTATAAAGAGATCACTTCACTTGGTTCAAAATTCTAAATATTTTTTACAAAAATATCTAAATATAGTTGTAGAGTGCATTAACATTAACATTTTCATGCTATATAATATATCATTAATGATTTTTGTACATAATTTAAATACTTTAATAGTTTTCATATATAGTTTTTGTCTACCTAGATGATTTTCATATCGATTTGTATTTCTATCAAATATTTTCATATATATTATTGTATCCTTTTCTTCAAGTCTGTTCCTATTTAAGTAAAATATTGATTAAATCAATCGTGTAAATTATATTTACATGTGTATATGCCTATTATTTCCAAATACTTATAGTGTGATCGTATTAGCATCGACCATACTCAACATTTTCATGTACATACAATCTAATTGTTTCATCATTGAGCATAATTAAACATGTCCATGCATATACAATCTGATTGTCATAGAACATTGTCATTTCCATGTTTGATTTACATTCAATCTGACTGTACAATCATAAAGCATGCATAATTAAACGTTTCCATGCATATAACATACTCATTTTCTTGTTTGATTTGCATTCAATTCAATCTGACTGTACAATCATAAAGCATGCTACTTGTATAATTAAACGTTTCCATGTACATTCAATCGCAATCGCATTTTCATACAGCATACTCAACATTTTCATGTACATACAGTCAGATTGTATTGATCATATTAAACATGTTCATGTACACACAATCTAATTGTATCTTCATAAAGCATATTAAACATGTTCATGTACACACAATCTAATTGTATTGCCATTAAGCATATTAAACATGTTCATGTACACACAATCTAATTGTATCTTCATAAAGCATATTAAACATGTTCATGTACACACAATCTAATTGTATTGCCATTAAGCATATTAAACATGTTCATGTACACACAATCTAATTGTATCTTCATAAAGCATATTAAACATGTTCATGTACACACAATCTAATTGTATTGCCATTAAGCATATTAAACATTTTCATGTACACGCAATCTAATTGTATTATCATAGAGCATAATTAACATTTCATGTACATAAAATGTATTGTCTTGTAGAGCATACCTAGCATGTTTCGCCTATATGTTGTTTCGGGATTCGTTAGTACTACGTTTACCATTTACATTGCATGTACATACACTCTGGTTGTATAATAATAGAGCATAATTAACATTTTCTGTATTTTCATTCGGTTTGAATTAATATGAAACATAATAACTTTTTAATGTACATACAACCTGGTTAAATTATTGCGGAGCATAATTAACATTTCAATGTACATGCAATCTGGTTGAATTATTATGGAGCATAATTAAAATTTCAATGTACATCCAATCTGATTGAATTATTATGGAGCATAATTAAAATTTCAATGTACATGCAATCTGGTTGAATTATTATGGAGCATAATTAAAATTTCATTGTACATGCAATCTGGTTGAATTATTGCGGAGCATAATTAACATTTCAATGTACATGCAATCTGGTTGAATTATTATGGAGCATAATTAAAATTTCAATGTACATCCAATCTGGTTGAATTATTATGGAGCATAATTAAAATTTCATTGTACATGCAATCTGGTTGAATTATTATGGAGCATAATTAACATTTCAATGTACATGCAATCTAGTTGAATTATTATTAAGCATAATTAAAATTTCAATGTACATGCAATCTGGTTGAATTATTATGGAGCATAATTAACATTTCATTGTACATGCAATCTGGTTGAATTATTATGGAACATAATTAAAATTTCAATGTACATGCAATCTGGTTGAATTATTATGGAGCATAATTAAAATTTCATTGTACATGCAATCTGGTTGAATTATTATGGAGCATAATTAACAATTGTAATGTACATACAAAAAGATTTAATTATCATGGAGTATTATTAACAATTTTAAGTACTTGAATTCAGAATGTATCATCATAATTATTCTTAAAATATATCTGTGTGAAATCAAATGAATTTCAATAATCACGGCCTTTATTATAATTGTATGAAATATAACCAGAAATCCTTTAAGTTCATAATTAAATAACAGAAGCCATTTGCCAATTGTTTTTCTTTGTTCGCTTGGGAAATGCAGCATATGTTACAAATAGAGTTGTACATTTATAAAAGTGTACATAATATTTCATGTACATTCAGTGATGTATTTGTCTATGATTGTTCTTGTAGTTGAATGACTCCTTTTGGTATATTTGCGTATTTTATCATTTAACTGTAAATTCTAGTAAGCATACCGAATACAATACAGAACAGGTTTTTGTTTTTGTTTTTTGCAAATCCCACATTTTCAACGACTGGTAAAATCTGATGATGTTTGACAAATTAGAAGTCAACTACATGTATAGTAATTAGTTTTATTTTACCAACAGTTTACCACAAAATTAGTTTGAACTAAAATAATTGTATTTGTAGTAATATTGGGTACGGTAACCTTGTAATTAGCACCTGTTGTCCTCGCAATTATGCTTTTTTCGAAACTGGAAAAATTGTTTATGTTTTTGGGGAGGTGGAGGTTTTGTAAATGTTTGATCTGCGTTATATTTTCCATAAAGAGACTAGTTATATTGATAAAACAATCATAAACATGTCCCATAACCATCGATCTTAAGCTAATATTTTGAAAGATAAACAAACTTATTTTTCGACTTTCATAATCAAAATCATCAAAGACATTAGCATAGCTTCTTTCAATGATAGAAAAGATTTCAAACTTGAAGGGAGATAATTTGGAGAAAAAAATGTTCTCAAGTTTCTGAGATGGGTCAAACACACTTCAAGGGAGGTAATTGGGTGAATTGTATTTCATACTTGAAGAGGTTTAATGAATTGATAATATTTTGATAAAATATAGGTCAGTAATATTAGTCATGGTCAAGAGAGATATCATAGCCGAGGTAATATATACTATAGGCTATAAGGTATATTATTTCTGGGATTATGTGCAATTGATTTCCTGTGAAAGAATATTGAATGACTAACTCATTGATTATATTTTCATTAATCTTTTTCTTCTCAAAGATCTAACATAAAATTCATAAAAGTATACATATTTTGAATTATGTTTTATTTTCAACAGAAATTCAATGTCTCTAGATAGGCATAAATCTTTTTTGTTTATATTTTCCATACAGTTATGACTTGGTTGTTTTTTCATGTTGTTGAAGGGTGAAATTAAATGTATTTAATTGTTATAAGGTTATTTTCTATCACCTCATAGTTTTCTAATTTTACCTGAACTATATTAATCAGTGTTTTAATATTGTAAGGACAGTCTGTTGTGTCCTCCGGAAGCTTGGTATTTTGAATATTTTGGATATTCTTGTTTAAGGCATGTTGTATTTAATAGTTTTATAGTTCTCGCTTTTTGTTTACTCTGGTTACCAGTTGTCGGCCATCTGGCTTCCTAACTTTTAAATAGTTTTGCATACATTATACTTAATTACTACAATTACTTTTCTATATATTAATCCCAGCATTGCTCTCCATTTTAAATATATCTTACACTACAATATTCTTTATCCTTCGATTTCCAGATCCCTGTTGGTAATGTTGTCGGGTGGGGATTATGGGTTAAGTAACCACACCAAGGGTTCAGTTGACTAGATGTTTATTACGTAACATAGAACAAAACCCTGTAAGTACAAATAATGCAATTACAATCAGGAAATAAATGAAATATATATATATTAAAACTGAGTAAGAGTTTACTCTTAATAAAACTATACAAATTTACACCTTATATCTATAAACATATGAAATATATGAAATACGTGAAAGGACATCATGCATAATTACAATATATAAGGACAAATCTAAATACATAATAATATAATATAATAGCTAAACCTACCCTGTACAGGGTTTTTTTAAACTAAAGAACCCGTGGGCAGTAAAGTACCTAACCAGGAATGGAGAAATCTGAAAATAAGACGTTTAAAGAAGTTGCTCTCTCTGATCTCCGAGGGAGTATCGCAGACGACTCGTCAGAAACCTCTGATACATCTGAAGTATCTGGTGTTGCAACTGATGCTGTAGGCCTGTCAACATCATCCTGAGCTACCTCTTGGTCAGGTACAACAGTCAAATCTTCAACGATCACTGGGCTATCCGTGGAGCTAGCTTTTGGTAAGTAATTTACCAATTCCACCCTATACCCACGATCATCATCTCCATCGTCTCTCTCTCCTGTATCTTTATCTTCTCCAAGATGTTCATGAGTTGTGTTGGCCCTTGTCCTTGTCCTTGTTCTGGGCTTGGGCTGTGGTCTTTTGACTCCTATATCTTCTTCAATAGGCACCGAACTGATGGGTAACAGATGATTCCTATGGAGAGTACGCACCCTACCAATTCCATCTTCCTTTACCACCTCATAAACTGGAATTCCTGTGTGTGGTTGACGTAATACCTTGTCCCATCTGTCAGCTATTTTGTGTCGTCCTTCTTTGAAAGCTAACCTGCGAACTAAAACCCTATCACCAGGTTCAAGGATGTTGGTCCTCGCTCT